ATACCCTAAGTTGGCTATCAAGTACTACGTTAACGTAAGTATAAAGAATTATAAAATGAAATAACAGTAAGAATTTTAATTAAAACGGTTTATAGCAGCATATAAAAGCAGTTTAAGGAATGTTTTGCCTAATTCCCTAAATCTACATTAAGAACCCGTTCCTGTCCAATATAGAAGTTTATTTTCTTAGTTTCTGTCAGGTGCTAACAGTTAACTTATATTAATATACTCAGTATCTTTCTGGAAAAATATAGGACAATTTAAATTAAAAGCTTGCCTTTAATTAGCAACATTTTTGTCAGACATTGGTAATGTACCTATTTTATACTCAATTAACCTTAACTTACAAATTTTGTAGGATGATACTAAAGAAAGTATAACCAATATTAATAACTAATAAATAATTTTTTAATGTGTACCTTAATATTATAACTCTGTGCTATGAATCTGAATAAAAAAGAAATATAGAGAACTCAAAAGTCAAATGACAAATTAACTTGCTCGCGTTTATAAAAGTTCTTAGTTTAATGAATTAATCTGAAAGTTTTCTAATTGCCGTCAAAGTTGAACTTTCGTGGACATTAATTTCTTTATTCTAGTTAATCTAGCATTATTAGAAGGGATAGGATTTAAGGCAAAACCCAGAATAGAAATAATAATCGTACTCCTTTTGTTATAATTATTTATTTCTTGGTTTATTAATATATGAAGAAATATTTACAATTTCATTAGAAAATATCTATATGATTGCAAAACAATTCGATTCTAGGATATTGCTCAAAACTATATTTCAATACTGTATAAAGCCTAATACCAATATTGATATTTCTTAGTACTATTGAATTTGATATTGTTATAATTTTTGCTTGTAACTGAAATTTTATATTACAGTTTTAACGTTTAAAAAACTTCAAATATCCACTATTTTTGACCACACGGTATATTTCAATACAGGGTGGCCCATCGAAAACGTTCCGCAAGGCATAACGGCCAGGGTAATTTTTTTTCAGAAAATCCAAAAACACGTCAATTTTGTTTGTGAGGGGGACAACTTTTGCCCCAAAAATGATTGCCAAATCTTCAACCCTCTAAGCTTTTTCAATGGGTCAAGTGGCACCGCAGTTTATCTTCTATATTTCGTTGTTTTTGAAATGTCATTGAAAATATGAAGGATTGAAATTTGAAAAGGTTCTTTAAACATTTATCAGAGTAAATGAAAAGGATAAATTCCTTCGGCCAATTTGCTGTTTTTTCTTATTATTTCTAGATGTTTACGCATTTTTTCACTTGTCACAAGTTTGAACGATCAGGTGCGGCAGTTGCTAGATAGCTGTTCTGTGACTTGTGCGTTGAAGTTCTTCTCAATATCGTTAAACTTTTTAACAATTATGGTGTACTCACTTGCAGAAAAAGTGGAAATAATCGAACTTTATTTTAAAAATAATGAATGTAGCAATCGGGTTTCGCAGATATTCAATGAATGCCATCCTGAAAAACACCTTTATGGCAAAATTGTTCGCAATTTAGTAGCAAAATTTCACGAAACTGGTTCCGTTATGAATAGAAAGAGGCAGAGGGAAAATCCTGTAGTAAATGAAGCTATGGAGGTATTCGTATTGGGCCAAGTTGCCATGGATAGTACGCTGAGTAAAAGAAAATTAGTCAATGAGACCGCGACCGGCGTGAATCGTACAAGTGTCCAAACGATATTAAAAAAACACAAGTTCCACCCGTACAAAATTCAGTTGGTACAAGAACTCAACGAAGACGATTTTGATCGTCGCGGGCGGGTATTTTTGGAAATTCTATTGTAGGTCAGTTTAACGATATTGAGACCGCACCTGATCGTTCAATCTTGTGGCAAGTGAAAAAATGCGTAAACATCTAGAAATAATAAGAAAAAACAGCAAATTGGTCGAAGAAATTTATCCTTATCATTTACTCTGATAAATGTTTAAATAAACTTTTCAAATTTCAATCCTCCATGTTTTCTCAATGACTCGACCGATTTTCAAAGTCGAAGCGGGGAAATATAGAGAATAGAAAGCTCTTTTCGTTGCGGTGCCACTTGACCCCCCTTCCCATTTGATGCAAGTTGGGGGATGACACCCCCGCTTAGATGGTTGAAGATTTTGCAATAATTTTTAGGGCAAAAGTTGTCCCCCTCACAAACAAAATTGGCGTGTTTTTGGATTTTTTGAAAAAAAGATATCCTGGCCGTTATGTCTTGCGGAACGTTTTCGATGGGTTACCCTGTATATTAATAACTACCGTTTAACGTGTCTCAATAAACCGTGGATGAGACTGGTGGGAAACTTATGAAGACGCAGAAAATCGAGTTTGCGCTAATAATCTAGTTGGCGAAAATATGGAATGTTATGATAGTATAACATATGATATTTGAAAATGTATCAAATACTAGAAGGACCATTTTACCGTATGTATCAAATACTAGAAGGACCTGTACTTTTTTTGTTTTTTGGGAAAGTCAAATGTTGAAACGCTTAACAAAACATAGGCACCCCAAGTCTTATTCAAATAGGAATAATAGTTCTTAAGATTTATTAAAAAAGTTGTTTATTTTTTTAAAATTTGATGCTCACTGACGGACAAACGAAGTACTATTGTATAGAGGTAAATTGTGTCCTATGTACTTATTTTGATTCCAAAAATACGTGTTAGTTCTTGTCTACGGAATATTGGGACACCCTGTATACGTTTTGTCTTTGCTTAGAGTGAAATGATATTAGGCACCAAATTAAATGTTCAATGTGAGGTTGTAACGTATAATGGAGGGCACCCTTACCAAGTAACATTGAATGCGCACTCGTACAATTTTTAATGGTGCGTAATTCGACGTGGATGCAAATAAAATCAAACGCTTGAAATTTAATCGCCACTATTACACCGAAACATTTTAGCTGAAACTGCACGTACAACATTGACATTAACCCAGTCTAAAAATTGAAAATTAAAGAGTTAAAAATGTTGTTTTACATGCTTTTGTAATATTTTACAATAAATACTTAATTTTTTCGATATATTCAATACAATATTTAAATTTTTAGTAGTTTTTCAGTGTAGTTGCAGGAAATCATTGTTATTTTAAAGAATTTTTAGTAATTCTATGCTAAAACACATACCTATTGACTATAAATTAAATTGTGTTCTACTTCTGAAAAAAAATAACTGAAAGTAAATCCGATTTTGTAAGGGGTGTCCCAGTTTAGCTGAAATCATATGGCATCTTTGTTATCAGTGAGGATGCGGTTTGCACAAACTTGTCCTGTCTGTGTTTTTGGCAAACGGCAGATGCTGTAAGTAAAATTTTAATAGCCCTCTTCGTTTCTGAACTACAGGGTCTTTTTGAAAATTTTACATTATAGGACGTTCAACAATTTGTTGAACGTCCAACAAGGACGTTTGACAGTAACAGAGACACGGGTGGTGCCCAAAGTTGCAAAATGTCCCATAAGATCCTGTAGCTCAGAAACGAAGAGGGTTATAACAATTTTGTTTACAGCATCTTTCGTTTGGCAAAACAGTGGGACAGGTTTGTGCAAACTGCATCCTCTTATCTTAACTAATAACGGAGATACCACATGATTTCAACTAAAATGGGACACCCTGTAGATCGATGTTTTTAAATGAATATAAATTTAATCTTCTGCAGCTACAATTCAATAATTAATTCCCCAAAGACGTGTGCGTACATATTTTCAGTTGCGTTTGATAGGATTTGTAATAAATCTGGACATTTCGTTTTGATTATTAACTTCCATCAGCATGGTTTCGCATAGATGCTATTTTCACCTAATGAATTAATCAAACTGATCTAGAAATTCCTGCGTTTGATTAAATCTGATTTGCAATAAACCAATATACCTTACTTGTATATAAAAAATTGATATTATTTGAAGAACTTATACGTTTTGAGATTGTTGCAAAACATTCTAGGAAATGGTTATTTTTAAAAAAGATTTTTTGATAATTCAATATAAAGATACTACATTTTAATGAGCAAAGTATTGTAGCTATGAAAAATAATTAGTTTCATTATACTAACAAATATAATATAAATATGTAGTTTAATTACCCAGTTAATAAAGCACTCCAAAAATACAAATCTACAATTCTACATAGTTTTTTTTAGCAAACGATCAAGATAGATTAAATTCTGGACATAAATCACGGGTTATTATATATTCCAGGTTTGAATAATTGAGCCAAAATGATTACCTACTTGTGATTAAGTGATCAGTCATTTACATTAAGTAAAATATTGCGTGTACAATTATTAGCATTATTATTTCTAGCAGTTCATAAAACTTTGTTTTTAGGGAAAGTTATCGTTCATATGAACATTAATGAAAATACCGTATGATCGAAAAAAAAGACGTCAAACACGGCTACAATCGATGATATTTATGGCGGGGTCATTTAGTAAAAAAATAGAAACTCGTTTTTACTCAGTATAAAAATAAATTATAACCTTCTTAACGGCAACTAGCAGTAAGAGTCATTAAAAAAATAAAGAAGAATACGGGCTAAGTAAATGCACATCTAAGGCTTGACCTCGCCAAAATTACCATTGATTGTCATTCTGAGCCGTTTTTGACGCTGTTTTTTTTAGAAGATTTTTATATTAAATTTATTTTCCATGTAATATTGCCAGTTCTTTGATAATCGTGATTCTCTAAAAGTTAAAATAAATTGGAAACAACCAAACAAAGGTTTTTTGAAAAAAAACGATTCTTTCGAACGGGTTTATCTAGGTTAGGTTGAAACGGGTATTAGGCAAATGTATGTTTATTTATGGATAAGGGTGCAAGATAAACGTATACGGATAAGCCGGCAGATCGAATGGATAACGGCAATATTAAAGTAGTTTCGCATGCAGATGGCATTGTGTGCTAATTGGCAAGAGACCCGACGTGCCGATTTTTCCGTCCTAAATATCCAGTTTTATTTGAAAGATAAGGTAATAAATGTACACTTACCTGATAACAACCGTATAGTGCGTTATTTGGCTGAGGTTGATGCCTTTCGGAGGAGCCCAAGAAAGGTTGGCTGCCCTGGACGAGAAGAAAGTGATCAATGGACGGCCAGGTGGATCAGGAACATCTGTAACCATAAATAGCCCTCGTAAATATATTGCTGGGTCGACGCTAGATTAAGGATATGCAATTATTTAACCCTTTAACCGTTAAACATGTTTAAGTAAGAGATTTAAAAAATATTATTAAAATAAAGGTTATTAACCCGGTGTCAGTGCATAATTTATTCAAAAAGTCTTCTGGGGCGCAATCGCCAATGTAAGAAAATCGACAAAATAAAATAGTTATTTTTTGTAAACACCGCTGGCGTTAACCCAACGGAGGATTTTTCAGCGGCATTTTACTTACTAAACTTCCTGTATATGATTATTTCTTGTTTGTTTTTAAGTTTTACTTATGTTTGTTAAAATCGAAAAAGCGATAAAAAGTACACAAAAAAAATCATATACAAAAAGTTTGAGGCTTTTTGGTCTTACAGTATTGAAATATCCAGACTTTTTGGGAAAAATGAATCCGCTACAAACACGTTGATAGACATACTGCCATTATTTTAATGATTTTTATTTTATGTTTATTAATATTGTTTGTAATATATTATTATTTTTATAAATGTAACTTGGTAAAACTTTTCCCAAAAAATTTTCGCTTCAAAGAAAATAGATGTCTATTTTTTTGTTCGAATCAAAAAAACCTTGTTTTGGTTCGTGCTTAGCTCTATTAGAAGTAACTTTTAAGTGTGTTTGCACAGTTAATGTATTTCTGATAAGATTTAGAAAACAGAAACTTTTGTAGTGATAATATACGTCCATGTAAAAAGTAAATTTAATATCCATAATGGAAAAAACAAATATTGTATCTACGTCTATCGCAGCAAATTACATCTAATGGAAAAATTACCGGCTCTCTGTTTGAATTACCAGTTGGAATACGTCGAATTTAAATTTATATTTTTCTTGCTTTAGCCCTGGCAGACATAATGTTTATTTTAACGAATTTGTTTAACTTGAATTAATTTTTAGAATTATTTAAATTTATATAAATAGATTTAATTTAATTTTTCATTGTATAATGTGTGTACTTATTGCAGTAATTTATTACTTATTCAAGAAATTTTAAATTCAGATATATTAATGGGAATATTTAGCTTACTACCAAATGAATTTAATTTTGTATGCAATTGTACTGTGTACTGTATACAAAACTTTAATCTATATACCGGATGTTTCTAAAAAGCGGCTTACCCGTATAACTTTCTTTATTTTCGGTCACCTCTTGTTTCACTGGATATTACTACAACTTTATATTTTATAATTGATATCCTCAGTATTTTTTTTTACTTCATTTAATAGAAAATTACATTCTGAATAGTTAACTTTTGACAGTTTCACTTAAAAAATAGTCTTTTGAGTTTCAATCTAGAGTGCAAAGCAAGTAAGTATGTTGTACTAAATTATTCGTTAAAAATCCTTTTTCATATTTGCTAATGAGCCACCTTCGTTCCATTTGAAAACATTGATTACAGTTGAGGGTTGGAACCTTTGGTATTCAAAACAACAGCAAAATAAAACACTAATTCGCCACAATACACCAAAACACTTTATTTTTGAAATGGACGCTTTTTCGCTAGCATCATCAGCAGATGATTAAAAACAAAAATATGATTGTAGCATATTTTAACAGGTTAGGAAACGTCACGAAAAACATTAGTTTTTTATATTTTTGATTGTTTATTTTTTCAAGGCACTTGGATTAAAAATTAGCCATTGTACTCTAGATTGAGATTTAAAATACCAATTTTTAAGCAAAAATATTAAAAGTTGATATAAGACATCTGACATGTCTAATAAAAAAATCTAATTTTCTATCAAATAAAGTAAAAACATATCAATCAATCTTGATTTATGCCATAATATACTAATATACCAAATCTCTCAATTTTTTATCTGAAGAAATAAGAAAGTTATAGAGATGACCCACTTCTGAAAAACACCCAGTATTTGATTGGCCTGTTAATAAAATTAGGGCGATATTTGGAGGAGATGTTTATTTTAAGCAGTTTACATAGTGCTCCATTTCTGTTTATTACGTTGTACGACATTTAAATAGGTTTCGGCAACATCATACCCGGAATTCATGCATCTCTGCTCTATAATTCTCGCATGTTGACCTGATAGTCTGTTTGGGAACATTAAGCTCAATCAAAGTGTCTCCGATGATATTGGCTAACATATTTAATGAAAACGTTTCACAAGTCTGCAAACAGCAAGTGTGATTTTCGGCTGCTTGTTTGCAACTTGATGCGATAGAATGTCGCCTGCCGAGTTAATCTTACCTGAAGTTATGTACGTAATTAATTACATTTACTAATATCAATAATACTGAAGTAAAATACTGTCTACAGGGTGTCCCAATATTCCGTGGGTATAGAAGTACTACGTATTTTTGAAATCAGAATAACTTCATTGGAATAATGTCCAATGAAGTTTTACCTCTATACAAAAGTGCTTCCGTTAGAGGCCATCAAACTTTAAAAAAATAAACAATTTTTTTAAGATATTTTAAACCATTATTCCGATTTAAATGTGATATGGTATACTTATATCTTGCTAAGTGCTTTAATATTCGACATTCACAAAAATCAAGAACACAGATGTAAGCCAAGTAAATGCCGTCTAGGGCTTGACCTCGTCAAACTTAATATCGATTGTCATTCTACAGCCGTCTTTGACGGCGTTTTCTTTCGATCGTATGTTATATTTGTACTAATGACGTATATATTATTTAAAGGCTTACTTTTTGAAAAAAAAAACATTTAAAAAAGGGCATATTTAATTTATTCATTTTTTATTTTATTTAGAAGAATTTATTTGAAAGAAAAAAATGTGAATCTTCTTAATCAAATAATCGTATTTTAAGTTCAGAGCAAAAGACTTTACCAACAAATGATGTCTATAATGTTTATATTGGATAGACCATTTTTGGTAGATTAATAATGAATATATGTTAATGCGTCTTACTTTTTATCGGTAGAGTCTAAGTGAATAACATCAAAAATGCCATTATAGACTGTTTACACTAAAAACTTTGCGTTGCTAGTTTCTAGAACAAGATGTTTTAAGTTTGCCATAGAAATTTTGGAAAGTTTAACAATTTATACGACTTTTAACGATTAGATTAACCGTTTACATGATATGAATAAAGTTTAAGATTGAATGAAACGAGGCAGCATAATGCAGCTAGGAAATTTATTATACGATTCTCGGAAAATTTTAATCTCTTTAGAGGCGCATATGAAATTTACATCTTCCAGAGGTCAAGTATTATCTTACTTGTATGTAATAGAATGCCTAATAAATTAATTTAAAGGAGCGTAAGTACTTCATTTGCATATTGAGTCTGTTATGTATACACGGCGCCATTTTGTTTTTCGGTAATTTACCGGTTATATGACACAAATATCTTAAAGCAAAGACGAGTTTAATAAATTTTGTGCCATGAATATTTAATATAATTTTAATTTACATTCCATCCAGAACACCCAAAAGTATTAAAGGTATGTTAATAAAATCTTGGAAATTTTGTTTTGTTTTAGACAATAAAGATTTTCATCACTTTTTTAATATTTACAAGACATTTGTAGCAAAATAAGATACATTTACTACAATACACCATAACATTATACATGTAAGGATTGTACTTAAAAATATGGGCAAACTAGATCAATAATAACTAGATATAAAGAGTATACCTCAAGTAAGATATGGCAGAGCAGATAAATCTTGTATTACTCATCAAGACCATTGTATAAATATTAATAATGTAAAATATTCAAACCAAAATTACATGTACCGTGTGGCCAAATAAGAATGAGAAACTACTTATCGTATAACCTGGGAAAAAATTGTTAGAAGTAAGTCGACCAAAAGAAATTGCTGGAAAAATGTCCGCTAGGGAGCGCATCTGTGATGGTCAATCAGAAAACAGGATTTTTCTCAAAAACTTCTCACCTACATATTTACAACTCTTCACCTGCATATTTTTAAGAAAAATCCTGCTTTCTGATTGGCCATCACAAATGCACCGCCTAGCGAACATTTTTTGAACTTAAAAATAATTTCCCGCCATTTCTCTTGACCGATTTACTTATTACAATTTTTTTCCCAAAGTTATACCATAAGTAATTTCTGAGATACAACCGGCGTCCATTCTTAGTTGGCCACCCGGTACATTTTTAACCAAGTGAGAGTTCCAAATTATGGGCAATTGAATGCATAATAAGAGAGTCAAAATAAATAAATGCAAAGATAAGTTTGTAATCATTCTTTTCTGTATTAACAATAATGTAACTCAGCAGTATCACCCAGAGAATTTCGTACAGACTGTGCGGTGTATGGTGTAAGCGCTGTGCCGACATTATTCATGTGAAAGAGTGAATTACTAGTGCATGAAAACTTTAGTTCGTACATATACAGGCCTGATTTGGTTCATGATTATTCAAACAGGATAGGACCAACATCGGTTGTGCTCACCAACTTGCAAATGGCAAGTAAAGGTTTAAATACTAAATTATACTGATCTTTGTTATTTTTTTATAAAAGCCCCCAAAAAATACCACATTAACACCATCACAAGTTTTAAATACTGTAACAACACACCTATTCATTTAGTACTTTAAAAAAAGTGACGTTAACTCGATACTACGTTATATAAGGATCCAATTGGTTTAATTTTCGAAATTAAAATTAAGTTCCCTGTTAGCATTTAACTGAAATTAGTCTGTAGCATAATATTTGTCCACCGTAGTTTAATAAGCACCTCAATAGGTAGCAGAGTCAACATTATTCTATAACTTTATTCCAGTCTATTGCTTTTATTCGATGATCTCAATTATTAATAATTTTGTGTTTGTAATAGAATTTTTTTATTAAGAGTACTCTTTTTTTCTCAGTAATTATTTTCTCAGTATTGCTTATCAATTTTCTGTTTAAAGAACTAGTATGGGGGCGTTCATTAGTTACCGTGTTAGAGGATTTTTTGACCTCTCCCCCTCTGCATTTTTGTTTTTAAATATATGATAGGTTATAAAAAAATCTATAATTTATTATCTAAATAAGTTTCCTCAATACCTCTAGATTTCCATAATTTTAATATTTCCGTTGTATGTTGGTATACGATTTCTTAATGGTCTGAGATTTTATCGCCATACAATTAGGGTTGTTTTACGTTGAAAGGTTATGTTTAAATAATAATGTACTATTGAATTAAGAATATTACACAGGCTAATAGTGTATATACAACATTACGAGGACAGTCTTTTTTGTCTTTGTAGATACGTTAATCAATTTAGGAAAGTTGCGTACTATAATATCGGAATATAAATTTAGATGTTACACCGTCACCTATTTTATTTTAGAAACGAATTATTACTTACATTAGGATTATTGTCTATATGTATATTATTTTTTTATAATTCTTTATAAAATATCATATAGGTTAAAGTTTTTAATAGTTTGGATACACAACAAACGAAGTTAACAGTAAACGTAAACTCAATAGCATTTTACAAGAGAAAAAAACAATATGGCGGCATGATATTTGTAAAAATAACCACATCAAAAAAGTCTAGTTGACAAAAGTAAACTTGTTGTATTTGTAAATTAAAGAATTTTAATATCCAAGATTGGTATGCAGTAAGTTATAGGCAGATGTCCTGGTTTTGTCTTTTCTTAGTTGTTGTTTAATTTAATATTAAGGTATTAATCCTTAATTACAAGATAGATTTAGATAAAAACTATAAAAATTATAGGTATAAAACTCAATAATACTACTAATAAACAAATCTAAATCATGTTTATTGGAAGCCACCCAAGTAATTTATTTGTTCCGCTAATTTAACACTTTTATAAAAAATCTAATATGAAACAAACTTGCATAAGAAAAAAACGTGTAAAATACGAAGTGCAGCAATATTTACATGGCACGCTTTCACGCATTTCCTGCCTTATTAATTTTCGAATATCTATTATTTCGCTTGTGACAAGCCGAACAACAGTTTCCTAACAACGTGTTAGTTGTTGGAATGGAACACACAAGAGACTTTGTTTCCCTACACATTAGTGATCTTGTCGTAATGTTATTATTATTGATAATGTTGGCGGTAGCACCCTAGATGAATTCGATAACAAATAAAATTAATCTGGAAGTGTTATGATTAATCCCTTTGGCCAGTAGCAATAAGAAGTGGTGGTCTTAGAGTCTACCAGAATATATATTTTTTTAAATTATCTTCGATGTAAGTATAATAAATTTGTAGAAAATAAATTCGATATAATTAAAAATAATAAAATATATTTTTAATTTTGTTTAAACCAATTTCACGCTACAAATTTTATATTTTATCTAAAAAATACTATGTAATAATTTCTTATAGTATTGACATAAAAAAATGGACTCAAATCAAATATTGTTTAACAAAAAGAGACATATCTATATATATAAAATGCTAATGTTTATCTGTGTCGTCTCTACTGAAGTAACGACTTGCTCTAGAAAGTTGCTTTTTTTACTAAAAGATAGCTAATTGGCTCTTCTAAAAACTGTCGTCGCCGGATTTTTTGTTTTTCATTTAATTAAAAAAAAATAAAAAGTATTTTTTTCCTGATGTTTTGGCGAATGCACCAGGCTTCAACTAGTATGAAATATAAATATGGAAATATAATATATTGACAGCATGATGGCATATTTAATACTATTCTAATGAATAAAAATGAGATTAAATGAGTCCAAAGGTTTGAATTTCCAAATTATTATTTACTTGCTGATGAAAGAATCAGTATCAATTTATGTCAATAGAAAATATATTCCAAGAGGAGCATTATTCCTTAATATTTTGTAATTCTTTATGATGCGACCCCCTTCTTTTCTTTCTTTTTGGAGTCATCCTATAAAAGAAACCCATTGATACCTTATCAATATCAAAGAAAGATGCGTATCAGCAAAAGAAAAAGTCCGGTCTGTACAAAGGAACTTCAATAAAACGCATAAAGAAGTCGTGATACAGTTCTCGCAGTAAAAAAGTGTTTTAAAATAAGAGCTACGTTATTGTTTCGAAACAATGGAGGCCAAAATTTTATTTTCTTCGAAAATCAGAGCTACTGCCAACATCGCACTGACAAGACGTAAAATGTAAACAGATTTTATTTGCGATTTTATAGAAATTTTCTTAATATTTTGTTTCTGTACTATGACAATAAATATCTAAAATATTACGCGAGACCGCAAAAAAATAGTCATTTAAAAAGCCCTCTTCTTGCTTTTTGATGCCTGATTATTTTCTGGTTCGTGTATGTGGGCTAGAATTAAGCAAACGGCTAGTCTTCTTTTACTTATCGATATCTGATATCATCTGGCTTGCCTCACTTAACTCATCAGGATGAAACACATGTGTGTCGACATACGTTGCCATAACTTCTAAGTAATTCTAAATGACTCTACTTTTAACATTTGAATTTTCAGATTGTATTTTTATTTACTTAATTCTATTTAATAATTGTTTTTAAAAGTTGAGTTTCTATTTATTTGAAAATCAATTTAAAATTTACGTTTTTTTTTTTTTTTTTGGAAATTATATCGTATTGTCCGAATATCGCACTAAATTTGTATAAAGTAATAATTTCTATCGCTGTATTTAATTTCAGAACCACTCCGAAAAAAATTAACAATTGTTACACAAAATGTATTTAAACAATTACGATAGAGTATAGGGCATCCATTTTTTAAATCACTTTGTTTTTCGCTTTGGCATAATTTTAATGACCGTTTTATTTTGTATATTACAGGTATTTTAGGACACTTTTTACTTAGTAATTTTATACTTAATCTTAAGCGCATAATACTATCACAAATAAAATGTATTATTTGTATACTTACCTATAACAGTAAATCTAAGCATAACATCAGGTAAAAGACGATGATTTATCAGACAAATATAATCTCCACTATCTGCGGACGTAACGTTACGAAATATTAAGCCATAATCTTTATCCATCGAGACCCTATCTTTCCATTCGTTATAGTACGTAATTCCGGCATCCTTTTGGAACTCTAACACTTTTTTGTGCTTCGATTCCGAATGCCACTCTAAATATTCCACTAATGTATTTTCGTTGGCACCTGGACATCTGAATGTGAAGTTATTTTTGGCGTAAGTTTTGTAGTACTCCGATTTTGGCGGAATATCTGAAATTAAACAAAAAAAAAAGAAACGGTTATCATGTTCAGTGGGATTATGTACTAAAATAAAACATTTTTTACCGACAGTGTACAGTTACCATTATAGCTATTTAATACCGCATGAAAAAACGGCACCAAAGACAGCTGAGGAATGACAATCGATAATAATTTTGACGAGGTCAGTCTCTAGACGTAATTTACTAAAAATTGATATAAAACGTGTCAACAATCAACTTTAATTATAGAAAGATTAAAAAAAGAAGAGAACGATTCCAGGCATACAGATCAATTCCTAAAAATATTTTTTTCTCGAATTTTAAAGAGCTTTCTTGAAGACAACTGGCACTAAACGCCATTAAAAAATAAAAAAGAGTACGAACCAAGTAAATGACGTCTAGGGCTTGACCTCGGCATAATTATCATGGTTTGGTTTGCCCAGTCGTCTTTCACGCCGTTTTTTAAATTCTATGGTATAATTCATTCGGTTAACTATATTTTATTCTATATTACAGGGTTTATAATCTATGCTTTATTTACAATTTTAATTAAATGAGAAGGTTTTTTATTTAGTCTTTTATTAGATTATATAGATATTAAACTAGATAATAATAGTAATAAATTAATAAGTGTCCTAATTTTCATTTTTTTTTTATAACGGACTAATTATAACTTACAAGTATTTTACTAGACTCTGAGCGAAAAGGCTGTCGATTTAAATAATTAAAATATTTTATTCTGTAAAGAAAAAAAGCAGATTTAATGACTTCAATTAGACGATAAAAATTTATCATTAAATCAGTCGTTTTTTCTATTTCCAATAAATTATTATCAGCATAAAAGAACGATTATAATTTTAAGAAACTATTAAGACGTGTTGTACCGAAACATTTTAATGCCATGAATATTTATGGCGAAAATTTACATTGAAAAACAGCATAGATATATGCAGATAAGTGTATGGCTGCAGGGCTATAAAAGGTGCATGTACTGAAGTTTAAATTTAATCGAATTTGATAGTTGAAAGGAAAATTATCTGCTTTTATTACAGTATTTTTCTATCAAAAAATGAAATTTTACGTTCTCAGGTCTGGTATTCGCGAATTTATATCGAGTGTATTTTCTAAACATTATTTTATATGAGTTTTTTTTTGTATGTTCTTATATTGTAGTTTAGTTTTTTTCACATTATTGTGAAGAACACTGAATAATTTTCCTTTAGTCACTACAGAGAGGTCTGGTAGACACCTCTATTAAGGTTAAATAATTTAATAGCAAATAAAATGTTTTTTTTATATCTCTATACTTTTATGAGTTTACAAGAGCGAGTTAAAATAATATATCCTCAATGAAAAAATTATGCATCAGTAATCCAACGTTATTCAAAAAATTACACCTAAGAGCAGGGTGACGGTGAGAATAAGAACAGCTCGAGCAAAGACTTAAAAAAAATAATTTTAATATATCTATATAATAAAACATAAAAATAAATAACAAAAATTTATACCATATCCAGAGAATAATAAAAAAAACTTACACAATCGCTACAGATGAGTCCGGTAGATACCTTTCCCGAATTTCTATATTCCATAAATCTGCACTCCTTACACTAATGAGTTCTCTCTTTATTAACTTATTGAACGCCTTTTGACTGAAGGTATATATGCAGTCTCATTACTACAATTGTCGGCGTTTACGAAATATAGAGGAATATTTAGCTCGGGGTGTCTGAGAGATCACTCTGTTACCATTAAGGGTTAAGTGATGAGTGACCAAAGCTAATAATAAAGTTCTTACAAACTCCTGAAGCTATAAGTATTTGTCTTTCATTCTCACATTGAACCTATTTTGGAAATATTTTCAAGAATATATGTATATCTGTAGGTAGAATTATTAAAACACGAATATTAGATGCTAAAACGTTATCCATATATGCGTCACTTTCTTAATATTTTAGAGCATGTAATCCATCACGTTTAAACTGTAATGAACCGAAGCTTTACAATTTTTTTCAGTGCCATTCCAATTTTTGAATTGCACTACGTCCCTGAATTTCAGACGGAATCGCGTTTCATATCTACGTTAGTAAATAGCGTGATGACCCGCACTTAACTGCTTTCAAAAATTACTATGATTAATAACTAGAATGCCTTCGGATGAACCATTTTCAGAGAGTAGGTGAAATAAACTAAAAAGCCTGAAAATTGTTTAGCGCCATTGTTTCTCTTATAAAAATGTCACCTTACTCTCTTAACTTGATTTATAGCTTTTTATGCAAAAAGTAGAAAAACTTTTCAAAGAAATGTTATATCAAAAGATTTAATTGGGCAGATTTATAAAAATTTAAATTTGGTCGAGGGTTGGAAAAAATCATGTCCCAAACTTTGAAACAAGGATAAAGTAAACAGGTACTTTGGAGAAAATTTTATTATGTTAAAGAGCTCTATTAACATAAAATTTCAGTGTATAATATGTCACAGTGCTATGAATATTTAAATTGGCGGAGGTTTAAACCGCTATAAAACTTCTCTGGAACTTTTTTGCAAAAAAGTCATTTGTTATTTTTATCTTCCCAGTTATCAAATTATGAGAAATTGATTTAATCCCCCCAGAGCCATAAAAATGGCTTGCCGGTTTAGTATTTACATACCTTAATTTTTTGCATTGCCAAACAGATTGCTATTTTACATTTTTTTTAATATAAGGCACTTACACAACCAAGTTAATTTTTTATGGCTAGTTAACCGAATGAAACCTTCTCTCTGTTTATTATATGTTTCTTCAGTACATCTGCTGACTATGTTAAAAACTTTCTTTATTAAAGAGAATTAAAACTTCTCTCTCAGTTTCATTAGAGCGTCAGCGAAAGTTCAAAATGCCCTTCCCTTAAATCAGAAGGAAATACTTTCAATATAGTCACTGACTACCTAGTTAGAAATGCTTAATAAGAATGAGTGGTTTCTCCGACAAACCTTTTTGTTTTCTTCTCATTCAATTTTAATAATACGGGTTTTTAATCGGTTACAATAATAGAAAACGTCATTTTTAGATATTATTTTTGGCATATTTGCATTTTCCCATTAATATTTTTTGAGTTAAGTTTTCTTCACTAAGAATATACTTGACATGGTGATTCGTTTGTTATTTTAATTCTAAAATATCTCTGGCTTTATCTTCCTTTTATATATATGTACTTTTTTAAAAATGGTAATTACAAATCTTTCTATTATGCTGGATATATTACTGAAGACAAAATTTGGATAATAATTTACTTACCTGGCATTTTTATGACTACCGAGAGAGAATTAATGTTAAATGATGGGTAAGAGCAATTTTAGTGTAAATTTTAAATAAAAATAGTAAGCCCTTAGGCATTTTCAGCAAAACGATACTGAAAAATTTAACGGAATTTTTATTACATTAAATTTCTACACAATACAGGTTCTAATATAAAAATTATTTCATTTTTAGAGTAGATTATTATATAAATTTCTGTCGTATTCCGAAGCGACGCAACAAAATTAGAACCACTCGATTTGTCTTGAAAATGTGCTTATCTGATGTGACAATTCTATTACTCTAGGCCCAGTCGAACCAGCTACTGCAGATTGAATGCTTCACTCATGCAGTGCGTCGCACTTCACAGCGTTGTATTTTAAATGAGCTAAACGCGTATATTAAAACTACCTGATACGTGCAGACACGGTTTTAAATTATAGGATATGAATTTACCGTTTCGCTGCTCTAATTTTCTTGTTTAACTTAAAAATATTAGTTTCTGATAGAGATAGATTGTTATTTAACTATCTATTATTTTTTACAACACTATAAATAACTTGTTTGTAATTTAAATATTCTATATGGCTAATATCATAAAAATAGTTAAAATATTTCTTTTCATTGTTTGACTTATATATTGTTTTTTATTTGTTGCTATTAGGAAGAATTCAGACAAAGGCTAATAAGAATAATTGAAATACAAATTTATATAGTACAGTCGCAACTGTTTAGTAATACAATTCTTTATTATGTATATGTGGGATTATTCAAAATATGCTTGTTTTTAATTTGTGTAACGTCCTATAATGATATCAAAATCGTTAATTGATCTAAAACTATTATTCTTTTTGATTGTTTGACTAATTTAATTTATTGAAACATTAACTTTATTTATGCTTTAAAAATCACAAGCCAGCAACCAAAACTTTGATATTCGTATCTTTGTTGAAAGATTCGTAACTTTGTTGATATTTTTCATGATATCTCTCTACTTATCTTATTCAAAAGTAGTCTCCCCAGTATTACTTTCTTGCTGCTTTAGTTTTTATATCATGGCCACACAAAAGACCTATATATAAATATAACTTGCCCTCCCCCCTATGCCCTCCCCTCCAACTTGCCCTCCCTTGCCCCCCACATCAACATAATTATTCCATTATTATTATTAATAACATAATTTTTCCATTTTGAAATAAAATCTGTGTTATTTTTTCAAAGGATTTTTACTTAATAGCCAATTTCCAAATTTTACTCTAGGTACTATCATCCTTTCTAATCACTAATACTGCTGGTACTTTATTAGGTCGATCCCACTTCTGATATCTGAATATAGTACGTATTTTTCAAACAAAGCACTGGATTTTCTTCATAACTGTTTTATTCTCTCATAGTATTTCACTATCTCAATCACCTGTTCTTAACTAACTCTATCGAACGTAGTGTTTCTCCCAACCTATATTCTCCCTACATACTATCTAGGGTCATTCTCTGAATTATGAAGTGCTTAATCTGTGCTATTATATACCAATATTTTTGATAAATAACTAAGTTTTATTAAAAACGAAATTCGATTGTTTAAAACAGAAAATATGAATAGCAATTTTCTTTTCTTTCGTGAAGAGTTTGGCCGTAGTTTCAAATTCTAATGATAGTTCTAATTGACTTTATCGATCATAATAATTAATTCACCGGTTTAAAAGTAGAAGTTTGTAGTTATTATTAGAGCTAAT